TGTGGATAAGATGTCATCTGACTTCAGGATACCCAAATCCAAAGAACATTCAACTGTTCACACATGGGAATAAGTTATGTTTGTAAATAAAATGGAAACATGTACTGTCCTTTAGGCATTCTCTTGAGTCTTTAAATTACTCTTTTTTTTTTTTTTAAGGTAACCAGATTTTTGAAATGCTGTTTCTACTTTCTTATGTCTTGTTTCGTCTTTCATGTAATTTTTGTTCTATATGGAGCACCATTAATAGAGTAAGTCTGAAATTTCTACCTTAAGCCAATTATATTTTAAAACACTTTTTGCTAAACAAAGGGCTAATTCTGTTGATGGTAGGAAAGAGACTGTGGTGTGTTTTATTATTGGATCAAGGAAGGATACTGACATCATTGCCCTTCCTTAGGAGGAATAACTAAATTCATCAACTGCTCTTATTACCTAGCCTTCTATTACACAATTGCATGTGGGGGGGTGGAAGGTAGATGAGAAACTATACTATACCAATAAGTGTGTGACCCAATAGTGAAATGGATAACTTAGGTAGTATTAGCATATCAGTTCTTAGTAAATGTGATTCTGAAGTGCTTAAAAAAAGTTTGTTTTCTTAAGAAAAGCCAATAAATTCCAGTATTTAAATACTTAATAAGTTAATGCTTATAGTTTAAAGGTAAAATTTAACTCAATACTTTTTCAAAACTGACCAATTTTAAAATAGTGAAAATTCATGAATATTTCTTACATTAGAATTTGTGAAACTTTAGCAGTGATTACTGATCATGGTGAAATGAGTGATTTATGTATATACACAAATACATAGCTATGTACATAGTTATATATATTTATACATAGCTTGTTATATATACATATTAAATTAACAGATAATTCTTTTCTAGAGAAGGGAGGACAAGACCTTTGTAATGGTAAATGGATATTTCTATCTAATCCATTTTAGAGTAGAATGAATGTCTAGAGCAATGGTGTGCAAAGTATGATTCTATACTAGCATCAGCATTTTACTTAAATGCAAATTCTCAGGCCTCAGTCAGAAATTCTAGAGGTGTGGTCCTCTAATCTCTAAGTTTATCCAGCTTTTTAAGTGACTCTGATATAAGCTAAAATTGAACCACTGCAGAGAAGGTTCCAGAGACTATTGAGGAAGAAAGTTAATTATCTGGAAATGAGGTTTCTTGCTTTGGACAGAATGGATCATAGGGGTTTTAATACTTCTGAACTCTACAATTAAAGCCAGATATTTGGTAGATTATTTTTTATAGCTTACATTTTTTATAGTCATCATTTTGGTAGGACTCATGTTACCTTTCAAAGGAAAGTGCAAGAAAATATTATTATATTAAATCTATTTAAGTAACAAAGATTATGTATGTGTACATATGTGCTCCTTTAATACTTTTTAAAAAATTAATGAAGTTCCTTTTTCCTAGGCTGGTGTTGGAAACATTTTTATTTGCAGTGATCTTGTCTACTTTTACTACAGTACCTTGTTTGTGTTTGTTAGGACCAAACCTCAAAGCATGGCTAAGAGTTTTCAGTAGAAACGGGTAAGTTTTAATTTTATATTTTAGTGATTTGAAAAATATTTTAAATTAATGTATTTTTCTATTCATGTTGGCTAGCTGATTATTTCATGAGTGTTTCTCAGCTTGTATTGTTCTCGGAAATGCATTAAGGGCCCACTGCAGTTGGGGACTGGAAAGAGGGAAGGAGTTGTAAGCACTTAAGGGAGATCCAAGCTGGCAGAACTACAGGCCCCTCCCTCTGCTTTAGCAAGATCAGCTCTGCATTTTTCCATATGGTAGAATTCCACTTAGCCTTTCCTTTGAAAAGGGGTTTCTGCTACCAGAGGTAATCTTTGAAAACCACTTCTCAGGGAAAATTTGTCACTGTGATAAAAATTCGACAGATAAAATTGCTTCCTTATGTATTATAATGTAGAATTGGAGTCCACAATCTAAAAATGTTTGGTGTCATAACTGCCATTTCTTGTTTAGCCTCTTTTGTGATATGACACCTGAGTGCAAGTTTACAGGATTTTACTTCCTCAGCAGCCATATATATATGTCAGCATAGCTAAATTAAAATTTTAGCTTCTTGAAAGGCATTGAGATGATTTGTATCAGAAATGGTTGGGGGGAAAAAAAGAAATGGTTGAGTCATAATTAATAAAACTAGAAAGTTCCTTGGTGTCCATAATTTTGTCCTGTTTATCACCCAGTGGCAAAAACTCTTGAGCTCTTATTTCTCTGTGCCATGTGGTGCAAGCTCTGTGTGGATTCTTTTTTTTTTTTTTTTTGTACATGTGTGTGGATTCTGAAGTGTCAGCCATGATTCCCTCCTTGTCCCTTGTTCATG